CCAAATCTTTGTCTTTCTTATGATTTTCTATTTTACTATACATCACATCATATATAGAATTAGAAAACAAAACAAAGCTTGGTTTTACAAATTTTGATGAAATATCTTTAAACAGATCATGAATGATTGATTGCGAAACATGAATTAATGAAATTTTGTAAAATGTAAAACTGCGTTAAGTACAACAAATGATGACAAAATGGAGAGTATAAAAAAGCCAAACACTTTGTTAAGGTCTGAAAACAAAACCATAATATTCGTTCTTCATGAGATAAACTTACAGTAATTGGAAAATGTCTTTCTAATTGAGCTTTTTTTTTTTTTTTTTTTTTTTTTTTTTTTTAAGAAAAATTTCTGTGTTTATATTTTGTAGTATTACTTTGAGAACTTTAACTTTTAACAGAACCTTTTATCACAATTTTAGAAGCATTTACTTCAGCCATAAAAAGTGTTAGAAGTAGGTTAGATAAACATTTCTCTAAAGATAACCAGCATGTACATATATCTTTCAAATTTTTCTTGCATAACAAAATTGTTTCAATTTTTCCTTAATTTTAGAAATATTTTCAAGATAATAATAAATATCAACAATGTGTTCATCCACACTTATTGGTAGAGAAGCTGCCCCTTGTCTGCTGCTAAAAATTTAAGAGGTGACAGTTGCACCTCATAATTTGCAAATCTGAATTTTCCTTTTTCAAGATTCCTGCAACACCAGACTTCAAGCCTACCATTACTGGTGCATTGTCAGCACCATGTGCTAGCAGAGAACAGGCATTCTTTGTTATTAACATTTTGGTCCTTTGTTTCCACAGAAAATTTTATTTTTCATTTTTTCAATACATATAAATTTTTTCGTTATTTGTTTTTACAGAAGCACATGTTTGCAAACATCGGCCCTTCTACTCTGCCAAACCAAAAAACCCCAATGACAAACTGTACACATTGAAAATATATTACATTTCCATGAGGAAATAATAGAAAGAACAAAGTCTGTGTATGACTTTTGAAAAGTATTTGACCATCTTCGCAGACATAACTAAGAAAAAAGATCGTAATTTCTTAAACTATTTTCCAAAAGCATGTGACACTCACACCGCTCAGCAACAAGATGAATGAAATAATACACCGATCCTGCTTTGTGCTCATAGACTAATAAATGCTACATTAATAGACTAATAAATGCTACAGGCAGTGGTGTTTGATGCTCATTGGAGAACTGGAACACGACATTTTCCAACACATATGCTCTCACTCATAAAGCAGCAGCCCGCCATATTTTCTCATTGATTACATGACTTTGGTTTTCTTTTATATGCAATCTAGGAAAATACCAAGTGCTTTCAGATGGCCAAAATCCCTTTTTTAGGATGCAAATAATGAAGTATTAATCTAAGTTACATAAAACTCATTAAAAATTTTACGAATAAGAGAAAGTCAGGAAAAATATGTTGTAAATTTATTTGGCGGGATTACAGTCAGAAGTCTCGTGCCTCAAGCAGGAAAGTTGTCAACACTGTTATAGTTAAAAGGGTGCATAGGGTAAAAAAAGGCTCAGAACCATTGCACTGATCCAATGATAACATTAAATGATGTTAAAAAGGTGCTCTTTGAAACAGAAATGGAATTTAATTAATTAAATATAAGTATAACCAGAAGAAACATATAAACAGGTACTTTCATAGCATTTTAAAAGAAAACGAAAAAAATCTGTTACTGTTAGCAATGTCTTTAATGCAAAAGTTCATTATTTATTTCTACCAAGATTGATACTAAGAGATTATTTGACTATGCTGAACTTCTAATCTTAACATTTGAAGGGCATCTCTCATTAAAATAGAGCATGCCAAAGTAAAATAAAAAATTCGGGGGGGGGGAAGCTTAGAAGATGCTTTCATGGCTTCTCTCCCACCAAGGAGCAAGGAAAAGGGCAGGTGTCTGCAGAGTATTTTTTCCTTCCCTTCCAGAAGAAGAGTTCTGCCTAACTATACTCAAAATCAATAGAGTTATTCAAAATTTATACTAAACTAAGAACTAAGGTTCCTTTTATTGCTTAATTTTAAATTAATGAATCACAAAACCAAAATGTTTGGTGTCTTAATCCCTCACATAACTACATTCCTATGTTACTTGGCAATTTTTAGAGCCTATTTTGAATTTATCTGGCAACTTTAGTTTTTAAAAAAATTGATTTTATAATATTTTATCCATATTACTTGAAGTATTTTCCATGTTTTCATATACAAACAGGTGAGACTTTGCCAATTCGATAACAATATCCGAATCATGATCGCATAAAAGCGGTGTACTGAAAACAAGAATTTTGACTTCCTTGAAGTACATACTACATTAATATTAGCATATATATTCATATGCATGCTTTAATATATTAAGTTCTTTCTTTACACCATCTCCTTAAAATTGGTGAAGATTGCAAAATTTTCTCCTTTCAATTTTCGGGAGTTAATCAGTAAATATGGAAAACTTACACCTAAATGATTATTTAGGATTCGGATTATTCAATTATGGCAAAGCCCACGAGGGCTATCTGCCTAAAGGGAGGGACGCCTTCATGGAGGACTTTCTAAGGGAAACTGGCTCATATACACGTTACACATGGGGAAAACCATGAAAACAGCAGTGCAGCCAGCCCGTTCACGGGATTCGAACCTCGAACTGAACTACCAGTGTTCAGGGTCTTTACCGCTCGGCCGCTGGTGGGCCTTACACCTAAATGAAAAGATATTAAAGTTACAAAAAATTCTAATTGCATATTTTAATGTTCTTACGTTCCAATTAAAAACAGAAAATTTGAGTAAGTGCTTGGGAGTGTGATATGAGAATAAAAATTACTTCAATTTATGAAACAACAGATTTCAGTGGAAGTTGTGTTTGATTTTCACTTGCACATTTTAAAAATTACGAGTTCAGAGAAACTTCAGTCACACATGACATTTATATATATATATATATATATGATTCAAACAGCAATATCTGGAAGTAATTGTCATGCTGTAAAAGTAAAAATTTTTTCAACTGCGGTTCCTGAAATAATGTGCTTTTATTTACTTATTCACAGATTTAATATGTGTAAATAAATCGAACAGCTTCTTCCTACTCAAAAGACAAAGGGAAAAAATTAGCCTTTTGTACCAAGACAAAAGATTACACAGTTAAAAGGATATAATTCTACCATGCATAAATATGGCAAAACATTCTTCAAATTAATAAAGTAAGCAAAAAGAATACTTTATTTGTCATCATATATATATATATATACAAAGCCTGAAATCCAGATATCCGATATTCAGATTGCCAGAACTTTTTTTTTTTTTTTTTGGTATGCTTTATGTATTGATTGGTATCTTTTCATAATAAAGTGTGGAGAGTCCAGATCCTTAATTTCAATTTGACACTAAATAAAATCCCTCCACATTGAAGAAATTACCACATTTATGGTAATAAATGAAGAATCATTTATTACCATAAATCTGTATGATCAATAATTTGGCTCTGTAGCAGTCTTTTTACTTGATATACACCTCAAACTGAAATATACTACATTGAAACATTATTGACTTTACATTTAGAGAATAATTTATATCTCTGATGAATCATTAATTATTTTTTGCTCTTATCACTGCATGATTACCAACACACAGTAGCTTGAAAAATGACTAATGCAGTGATGCCTAAGCAATTTTTTTAAACATATTAGCAACTGAATACCAAGCAGTATGGTAACCTTTTATACTGACATTAAATTTGACGATGACTGCAGACTTCAGCTAACTGTACTGAGAAGTGTTGAGTGTATTGATGATAAGAAATTTAACAAAAATTTCTTTCCATATGGAAAAAAAAAATTTGTAAGCGATCATCATAGGCTGAAAGATTACATTCAGTACTGTTTGAATTGAGAATAACTATTAATTTGTTATTTGGATAAGGCCATGATCGGTGCCAGAGCTGGTGCGATCATACCAGGCAGAATTAAGAGGAGGAAAAACCTTTACAATTTAGGGAAGCACTGACAATAAATTAAGAGATGGTAAAATCTTTAGAATTTAAGGAAGGCATTATGATGTAAAATTTATGGGTGGAAAAATGTTTAGAAGTGCTTGGCTGCAGAATTTATGACCTGAGAAACTGTGCTGATCCTGGACAAGCCTTAGGAATGTCCAGGAATTTATTTATTTCAGACTCAGACAGGCCTTAAGTTTAAACTGGAAATAGGCATAAGTAACCAAACTAATATATAATTCAGGCTTAATTCTCTCAATGTGGGATAGAAATTAGAAAAATTAAGGGAACAACATGTCTTTAATCCCCCAATCTCATGATACATTGTACATAATATACAGTGGATGCTAGCTGATCTGTGCGACAAAAGCTATAAATTTGAAAGTTTGCAGATATCGCAAACAAAAAGCAAAATTTTCCACTTAATGGAATTATTGAAGTTGTAATACATGAAGATGATATAACAAAAGTTATTCAATGCACTGACAATGCCCCAATCAATCAACTAATGGACGGGGAAATCTGTAGTATGGTTCAAAATTGATAAAATATCACTACTGATAGTAAAGAAAGTGACAGAGAGGTTGTAGAGAATGAAAAAAATTCAACTGACAGTTTAGTGGGAATTCTTGATGCTGCAATAACACAATTTGAACAGCACAACTCTGCAAATGAACAAGAATTTATATCCATCTATTTAAGAGAAAGTATTGGTACAAAAAAATAAAACAACTTACATTGAAACATTACATTTTTTTTATAGAAGCTAGTCTAACTTATCTATCTGAGACAGTCTGGAGCAGCTGATACAGAAACTATACTATTACTCATACAGAAACTATACTATTACTAAAAATAACATTAAATAATTAAACAGGGCTTTTTTTTTTTTTTTTTTTTTTTTTTTAAGATAAAAGTAAGTTATTTCTTGAATATTGCTTCAAATATGAATATAAATAATTTAAGATTAACAGTACCACAAGTTCTATGAGGTGTCAGATCACAACTTAAAATTAAAGAAGCCATAGTTATATGAAGAGAACCAAATTCTTGAATTTGTGTAGGAGTCCACCTTCTAGGAAATGTTTCCTAAAAATAAATAGTAAACAGAAAAAAAATTAAATTTCATATAACTGGTAATACATGAAATATACAGACACATTTCCGAGAATTATCTAAATAGAAATTTACCAAAATTTCCTGCATGTTTGCAGCAGATGGGCCAAGAAGAAAAATCAAAAGCCTTTGAAATGCATTGTTCTGTATCAAATGGTTGCAAGCTTTATGACCCTGAAAAATAATTCAGATTCATATTTAAAATGATGTCAGACCTGTATACACAGATTGTTCTTCAATAATATAGTTTAAACTCATATGAAGTTTCGAGATCTATGCCTTGCATACATTACTTAACCCTCTCAGGACGGGCATTCTGTCTCTTACAGTCGGGCGTCCCATCCACACATCACTAGAGATTGTATTCACAGGACAGGTGATGCGTATACGCATTTTATGCTGGAACGTTTTTCTGAAGGCCACTAGATGGCATGCTATGTCTGTTACTTTCGAAATGAACACAGTTTTAGGTTCCTGACCTTGAGTTTGATATATGTTGCCTGACTTTGGTATTTTACTCATCAGCTGTTGCGAGGGTGGGGGAAGGGAAAGCATAAACAGAGGTGGGGTCTTTAAATCGCTGCATGCTAATGAAAACATTCTTTGTTTGGTTTGGTTTATTTAATTGTGGCAAAGCACACTACGGCTATCTGCCTAAGGGGAGCGATGCCTTCATGGAGTACTTTCTAAGAAAACATTCTCGTGTCTGATTTATATCCAATTCCTTTTTTCACTGTATTTTTTTTTTTAGGGCTACTGTGTGGAGTTCTTTTACGTTTTGCATTGCCTTCAGATATATTTCTGCTTCTTCTCTTTTTATTTAGGAAAGCCTCACCTCCAGTCTATTATGGCAGGAAGGCACTATTTATGAGGAAGAATACCCTCGTATGGTTAGTGAACCATTTACAAATGCAGAGATGAGAGTGATTATTCATTTTGTAAAGAGTTAGAAAGCGATACTTGTTCTAAGAGTTAGAAAGTTATACTTCTCCATACTTCGAGATTAACCACACTCGGTCTGGATTTTCTTGATGTAAAATAAAGAAAAAAACATTATTAATTGCTAATTTTAACATATATAAGAGCTCAAGTAAAAATCTAAAATGATACCAAAAATTACGATGCTAGAGGTGAAACTTTTTTTTTCTGGTTTTTTTTTATAAAATTATGTTTAGTGATGCAAAACCTCCGTCCTGTACGGTGACTGCCTTCGATTCCCTTCCATCCCGCCCAAGCATCTTAAACAAAGGTACACCTTCATGAAAGGGTTAATACTAGGAGAATTATTAATAGAAACAGTTTCACAGATGTAAATTATACACTGTATTAAAAAAAGCGTATGTTAAAAAAATATAGAAAAACCCAAATTTAGATTTTAAAATCCATACTTCAAAATTATGGAAATGCTATTTTAATTCAAATATGGAAAAAATATACTGAATATGAAATTAAATAAATATAATTTTAATGTATTTTCACATTCAACAGCTAAAGATGACACATTATATTGAAGAAACACATGAAAATAAAATTTTAGAAATATAGAATGCAAAATTTAAAATATGCCTTATTACAAAATGAATAAAACTAAAATTCAAGCTCACAAATTAGTTTCTAACAGTACATATATTTATTTATCTATGATGGCAATGTTAAATAAGCACACATTAATACTTAGAAAATATTACTTTATTAACACATCATTTTAGATCATATTTAATTTCAATCAAAATCACAATTATTTCCAATTATACAATTATCAACAGGTAATTTAAAATAATTAATTAACTTGCTTAACATACTGCATAAAAATTAAAATTTTAACCATTTATAAATAATTCAAGTATTTTCTTAAAGTAGTTGACTAAGCAAAAGGTTTTCAGGAATAACTATACATTGTAACATCCATGCTAAAAAAAAAACTTACCAGTTGTGCATAGGTGCTTAGCAACCAAAAGTACTGACTACAACTTTTGCAGTTATCAGGAACATCATGATTTAACATTTCCAGCAAATATATTATTATTCTATTCAGGTTACATGATGTCTAGAAATTGAATATAAAATTAATTAAAAAAAATTCTGATATAATTAAAAACTACTTTCAAAGAATTTATTCTATTTGCGTCTATATATAGTACCACTTTATCATGAACATAGGTTTCTTAATACTTATCTTGATAGAATCAAGTTCATTGAGTACAAAAATTTAACACCATATTTTCCGATGTATAACGTGCACCAGTGTATAATGTGCATCGATAATTTCAAGTTACATTTTTTAATTTTTAGGTATATCTGCTGTATAACATGCACCCTATTCTTCATGTAGAAATTTGAAAGATATAAGTTTAGTGCTCTCATCTTTTGAGGTCACTAATTCGAAGATTTATCCCAGCCTTTTGAACAATGGTATACTGAATTGACAAGCGATAAGGGGAACAATATGTATGCGAGTTAAATGCTTCAGGGAACAAATATTCCTGGTAAGAGGATGGATTTTATTCAATGCAGCTGAACAACAGAATGCTATTGTAGGGTTTCGAGAAAAATGGGAATACAATTTGGAGAAATAATGCACTTCCAACTTGAATGAATTCACAGAATTAGGATTTAAATGTTGTAGAAACCATGATCATTTGGAACTGTGATTTTGAAGAGAACATCGAAGATTTTAGTTGAAAAACAATTTATAATTGAATTTTTATCAATGAGTTCCTTTCAGTAGTAAATATGGCTCATGCCAAACAAAACTATACAGTGCTGGTTTCAAACGCAAAGTTATTCAGTCTGTGAAAGAAAATGGAAATCATGCTGCAGTAAAAATATTTTGTATTGGTGAAAGATGGAATCGAACGGATGATGATTATTTATTTATGGATTAGAGTATGTGCCTGAAGATATAACAACTGACAAACGTGCACCAGTTTTACGTTACCAATAATGAAAAGTTTTTAAGTCCAAAATATATGTGATTTCTTTTAAATAAACTGCATAAGTACATGTAAAAATCTAAATTTGTATACTAATTTTTTTCCTTATTTTTAATCTATCATTTTTATATGTGGTGTAAAAAATGCACCGGTAAATTTTGATCATATTTTTTGTTGTTAAAAATGCATAAGATATGGCGGAACATACTATAGTTACAGTAGAGTACAAAGTTCAAGATTTAGAAATGCTGGGATGTTGGTGATTATGGAAATTTCTGGATTTTAGATCATCAGTTTAAATCTAGTAAAATGGCATGTAGACTTGGCAGTATTGGGGCTTATTGTATGGGTCAGATTTTTAAAAAATGCAAACTCCCTCATAACCCACTCAAGGGGTGAAAGAGTCAAGGCCAACATGAATACAACAAAAAATTCATTGTTACTGGCTATTGCCCCACTCCTTAGTAAACACATGTTTGAAAATGACTTGCTTACGAAGTATCTCAGTTTGGAGAGAAATGGCATTTATGGGACACCTACCTTCTTTTGCCAAGTATTTGTAATATTCACCATCCCTATAATACATAAATAGCAGTAAGAGAGAAAGAGTTTCCTGGTTATTTTAATTTTCTTTACATATTTATTTACTTATTGGACTGATGGACTGAACATTAGATCATTCGAGACAAGGCGTTCCCACACTTTATACTGTAATATTTAGATATATTTAAAAGTTGAAAGAACATAATTTTGGGTTGTACATGTCTATATTTAGCAAAGAAACTATTTCATACCTAAATTTGCAGAACCACAAAAATTATTCATGACTATTTTAGTCTTTATCATCACCTTTATTTTCAACAAAAACTCCATTAATTATATTCAGTTTAAGAACAGAAGACATATTTCAATAAAAATTCATTCATCCAGAACATGATAAAGTCATATTTTTAGTAATCTATTATAATTTTTATAAATGAAGATAATATAATACATAAATTGTATAATACATAAATTATAAAAACTTAAAATTCCTCTAAAATATAGTTTAGTTTTACTTTTAATTAAATTTATTCTTAAATATGTATCTTCACCATACAAATGCAAAATGTTGTATATTTTTCATAAACAACTGTAATATTTCAGTTGCAAATTATATTTAACACTTTTTTCATGTTTTTGAAAAATATCTCAAATCTATTAATTGTTTACCGTCTGTGGATTAATTAATTCCTTTCCTGTACAATTCTCAATTATCACATTAACCTATAACTTTTAATAGCAGTAATTTATAAATGCTTTACATTTACATTATTTATAAAGACACAAGCAAGAGAATTTATACAGAATAAAAAATATTACTGAGGCGGGGGGAAATTAAAATAATGAGAGAAACAAATTTGCACAGTTTTGGAAAGATGTAAGAAGTAAGAGAGTATAATGATATTTAGCTAGGACAATTTTAAATAAACACAAATAAAAGGGTTCAATACTCAAGTAAGTAGTAACAGGTATCAATTAGATAAATAACAATACCTCACTCTTTACTATTATTCAGAGATTTTTGATTATTCATTCATAAAATTTCAGAAATGTCTCCACTCAAAAGTAAAGTACTTCTAATTATTAGAATGACTTAAGTATAGCATTTAACTGAGAGACATTCAGTACATAAATACAAAATTCACATACCACATCTCCACCATTCAAAAGGAAATTACTAATTCCTCTTTCTAACATTCTTGCAACAACCTGCCGTACCTCTCGGCTAGGACATTCTAATAAAAATGGTCTATAAAGAAAACAGAAAATATTGGCAAAAAATATACACTGTTAACACATTTATAACATTCTTTTAATTCTTTTAGTAAGACAAAAATAAATACATTTGATTTAATTATAATTTAATCTGACATTTTCAACAAGCTAGTGTAACTTTTGCATGTTATATAAAAAGTAAATTGCAAACAATTACGTGAATACAGATTTCCCAAAAATAATAAACAAGATCTTTTTTAAAACATGATTTGATTTCTAAATGCCCCCTCCCAATTTTTTTTAGATTTTACATTCCAGTCACATATGTTGCATTTAAATTCATTCCTTCCAAATGTGTTCAATGAACAGTGAACTCCTATATTCAATAATGGAATTCATTTCTAAACTTTGAAAGACAAATCTACTCTATCATACGTGATCAGCAGTTACATCTTAGAAAGCTATACCTATCTTTTGTAAAAATCTATAATTTTTATTGACAAACATAAAAAAAATGAACAGAGACATAATTTATAACCTTGTGAATTCAATAAAATATTTTTAGAAAATAAAAGAATTCAAAATATGAACTTGACAAAAAAATAAGGAATATAAAAATTTTAGAGATTTTACAGCAACCAAATTTAAACTTACTTTAAATAGCTAAGACCAATATCTGTACTAAAAAAATCCATGAACCAAAAAGTTGCTTCCTGACAATTATTAACAATTTTCTCAATGAAGTCAAACAGTTCATCAATGGTATCACTGAAATGTAAATAGAGCCTTTTAATAATTCATTAAAAATTATTCTGTTACAACTTCTAAAAACAATTTTTTAAGCCTCCAATATTAAAAGTATTATTTAATGCAACAAAAGTGAATGATTTTTGTGTACTAAAATTATTCTCATGCATATAGTTATAAATTACTGTCCTCTTTAAAAACAATTATTTACACAAACTGCAGTGATATATTCCAAACCACTTCCTAAAAATATTTTTTTATAATTTGCTTCATCATAAAATATGAATAATTACCATTTTAACCACTTACTAAAATTAAAACTTTTATTTGTAACAAATGTGAATATAGAAATTATTACAAGATTTATTATAATTTTAATTACCTTATTCATACAAAAAATGAGTTCAGGGGAAAAATTTTCAAAATATTAGTGAAAGAAGGATCAGTGGATATTTCAAATCATAAAACTGAAAGCAGTTAGTAACAGACCAAATATACTGCTAAATATATGACAGATTCTGGTACATTACTTGAATAATTATACAGCATGAATTTCTGCATTCAGAATACTTATCAGTTTCAACGAAACTGTATAATAAGATGAAAACCAGGAAGATAATAATGTAGCTAGAAAATAAAATTACAATTCCAAAAAAAGTATGCTTATGGAAACGAGGAAATAATATCCAAGGCAAGAAACAAATTACAATTCAGACACTATTAGCTTTCTAAGAGTAAAGTTTCAAACTATCATGTAAATTAAAAAAGAATTTTAGTATAAATAATCAAAATTTTTAAAAAATTGTAAAAGAAATCTGAAAGATTTTATATTATGCCCAAAGGTGCAAGTCCCCCCCTTCATTTACATACACATACGTGTTTCAAAAGCATTTGGGCTAAAAATATTTTAAGACAGCTTATCTTTAGAATTTCTGATAGAGAGTCTCATGCACCAGAGATAAAAATGTTTCATTCTCGGTAGTGCTACCACTGCTCATTTTGAAATTATGCCCAAATGTAAGTTCCCCCCTTCATTTGCATACACATACGTGTTTCAAGAGCATTTGGGCTAAAAATATTTTAAGACAGCCTATCTTTAGAATTTCTGACAGAGAGTCTCATGCACCAAAGATAAAAATGTTTCATTCTCGGTAGTGTTACCACTGCTCCTTTTGAAATCATCAAGTTTGTTAATCAAAAATTCATTAAAGTTTTACAAAATATGAAATACACAATAAAAGAAATTAAAAATTCGGGCTTCCAGCTGTCCATATTCAAGTGGAGGACTATGTTATTTAGAATTTGATGGCTCTAGGTACTGTTGCTTTTTTACAATGCAAAAAATATGCATACATTCACGTAAATTCTTCATTATTTAATTTCTTTATATATAATACAGGGCAATTATATTGGGTGGCAACAATTTGAAAAGTGGTTAAAGACTTTTAAAGGGATTCAACACAAAATCCTGTTTTGAGACTAATAGCCCTTCTAGGCTAATGCTCCTTCAAATTAAAAACCTTCACTTTCTTTTCTTCTCTTCATTTATTTTTGTACTTGTTTAATAAATTTTTACATAATTTTACAAATGCTTAATAACAGTCAAAACTCTCCCTTCATCAGAATTCAATAAAAAAACAAAGTAAAAGGGGATAGTGAAAAGTTCAGGAAAATGCAATTTATGGTAGAAAAATCATATGAATGGAAGAAATAATATCCAGTCTAAAATTATAAGAAAAGTCATTTTATTGGTTATCATTTTGAATATTAAAAGCCTAAAGTTAACATTAAATTTTTTTTAAAAAAAAGTTCATTTCAAACATGAAAGCTGATGAATTTTCGTATTCATTTCCTTTCATTTTGATATGTTTAAACATACTTCATTCATTAAACATATTGTTATGAAGTGTCCAGGTGCGGTAAGATAGCTTCCCCACAAAGCAGGTTTAGGGTTGCCAGAAAATGGCAAGGGAAGGAAGGCAGGGTTGTCACATTTGGCAAGAAACTGCCCATTTGCCAACATGCCGTAACCTTCTGGAACGAATATTTACTGGTTTAGCCCAGAATGTTCTCAAACACAAGCCAAAAGCTATATAAAAAGTTTAATAGATAACATATAAAAAATTAAATTGCTTGTCATAATTTTCCCCTTGCATTCTCATTCTTTACTGGTTTTCAAATAAAGCTGCATATTGTGGCAATTAATGCACCTTTTTCTTGATGCCGAGATGATTCAGGATGCGTACTTTTGTAAATATTCCACTGCATGCTGTTCCCTTTAAGGTAGATCATAAACTAATCATTTTTCAAAAGGCAGAGAAAAGAAAGATAAATAGCAATTAGGCTCATATCTTTCTTCATGAAAACTAAACCAGCTTATCAAGAATTAATCAGGTTTGCATGAAACCAAGGACAAAGATCCTAGGATTGTGTTGTGATGTCATGCTTATCCATCCCTTCAGCTAAATCACATTGTTTGGTGGCAGTTTTTTGCTGTTCTGAGTTTTAGTTCTATATATGTTTTATGATAGCTTTACAAATTTTCATCTGCTTAATTTTTCATTAAGAAAAGAAACAAAAAGAAAAAGTTTCTAAAGTTTTAAAATATTCTCGTTGCTTGTTTACAAGCAGTCTGGCTTTTGAGGTACTTCCTATAACATTCCTATTCCTTTTTGTTAAAAAAAAAGCAATTTAAAAAAATAAAATAATTAAAATGTAAAAAATACATCCTTAAAAAACATTTTATGAACTCGGAATGATTTTTTTTTTAATAATAAAAGTTTAATATTACCCTAACTTAGAACAGGAGGAACCTTTTCATTTTCTCTCGTTGTTGCTATTTATTAATCTTATTATTTATTAACTAAAAAATGCCGTTGCTATTTACTGATCTTACTATTTAATAGCTAAATCTTATTACTATTTATTAAAAAAAAAGTTCATGAGAACACACTAAAAAATACTACTTTATGGCTCAAAAATACTACTTTATCGCTATAAATTTTCATCATACTCATACACAATATGAAATAAATGAAATTTATTGTAATGAAAAGCGTTAAAACAGCATCATGATTTTGGAAAAAATGTTACGAAGAACAGTCTTTCAACACATTTCATTGCATTCTTTTAAAATACAGTACCTAAAATTAACAAACTGAAAATAAACAAATTTAAATGGGCTCTTATGATGCAGAAGAAATCAGTATTCACACATTTTTCAGGTAACATTCATATACTAATTCTGGTAAATAAACAAAATATATCATATAATAATTCCAGTAAATAAACATTTAAGAACCTGTACAGAAGGGTAGATTATAATTAATATTACACAAATTAAAAATACAAACCTGCTACGTTTCTTATAACGCAAATATGTATTGAATAGAAAATTCATGCTTAAAGGCAGAAGGCTATCTACAGCATAAGTGGGAAAACTTGATGACTGCATAAGATTCTAAAAAACATTAAAAAAATCTGTAAATTATTTTTAGAAAACAGACAACAATTTTACAACATGAAATGTATGGTAATATGAAAACAGATATAACAGCATGGCCATGTTTTAACCATCTCGATAGCAATTTAACAAAGTGATAGTAGCAGTAAATTATTTGCAGTCAGAGAAAACTGACAGTGGGAAACAATATTATATCCTAACAAAAATTCCTCTATTAATAGAAACTTGTAAAAAAGGGGAAAACAATTATAATGCTCTTTCTTATGAATATTCATAATTCACATGAAAATTCCTATATTACTAAAGGAAATTTCCTTATTTTATTCTTCTGTACTGCATAACTTTATCCTTAGAAAGTGCAAAAATGTATTCTATAATAGTAAACTTTTAAGCTATGACAATTAAAGCATTTACCATTATGGAAAAATTATCCACAGAAATGCAAATTCAAGATCATTACAGAATATAAGATGCACTTTTTTAATGGATTTCAATTCTTTATTCATAGCTTTTACAATATGGTTCAACAGCAAACTCATCAAACTTAGTTTTCTGCATTTATTCTTAGAAACACAATGTTATTTTACAAACCAATTTCATGAATCTACAGAAAGAGTAATTTTACATTATCAGATGTTCAAGATAGTAAATACAAAAAATAAACATAAAAAATACAAGTCCCTTCTTAACTCTGACTACTAGATTTTACTGTTCTGGATGCATGCAATTTTTCACTGAAAATATTATTTCTTCCAATAAACATTTACAAAAAAAAATAAGTATCTTTACAGTAGTTGATATATCAATAAAAGGTTAATTAATTGAAAATTCTGTATATCTGATTATTTAATATCACCATAAAACAATTTCAAATAAGTTATTGTGAAATACTGGTATATCTTATATATTAAGCAATTGTTTCCTTTTCATGAAAACAATACAGCATTACAGCAAAACAATAATGCAGTAACTAAACCAATTTTAATTTTTCACCTAAATTTGAAAAGAAATATATTTCTAGTTCAAATCCATGCGCACTTTACATAGGCTTGCTAAAGTGCAGGCTGAGTAGTGACAGTAAGCAATATTTATTGTGATTATATCAAGTATTTGCTTTATAACAAACTGAGATAAATAAGTAATTCAATGAAAAATACTCACAATATTTGCAAACAATAACTGTCGGATGAAATAGAAATATGATTCATTATATATATCACGATTATGCATAAAACGTAAATTCTCATCTCTAACGACTTGCTGAATTCTTGCAGGCATTTTATCCAAGAAAAGTCCATGTCTTTCCCCTTTGTCCACTAACTGTGTTAATTGACTTAAACTATCTCTTTGCCTTTGTGGACTACTATGCTTAGCTGGAGATTGCTTGCTTGGAGTTCTAAAAATTAAATACAATCTTACATTTTCAGACATGACATTATAAAAAATAATAAAACCTAAATTATCAAAAAAAAAAAAAAAAAAAAACTGACTATTTATGAAAATAAAATAAAAGATTATATTACTAAGTTATTAATTCCTATTAATAGATGTTAGATCTTTATCTGATTTTCTGAAAGAAAATTTGCTCACAGCTTTCCTAGGTGTTCTTGGAGTTCTTGTAACTTCTTCAATTTTTTCATAAAAAAGCATATATGCATTCCAATATCTCTGCCGAACCTCAGGATATGAATTACCTAAAATTGTTCCCAATATTCTGAATCAGACAAAATACATAGTAAATATGAATTTCTAATTTAATTTCGACTGCTTCTTTTTTAAAACAATTAGACAACTGACAGTTAAAAATGAAAAAGCATAAAATATTCTGAAGCTTTATTATCAAAAATTAATTACTGAATAACTATAAAAAACCTTTACTGTAAAACAAACAGAATACATAAAAACTGCAGAATGGATAGGATATAAAGAATAAAGTGTGTAACCTTATATTTGCAGGAAAGGTGTGTCCAATATAGAAATATATATATATATATATATATAAACAGTAGTCTTTAACCCATTCAGAACGGGCACCTCTGTTACCAAAGCGTTCTCTTGGGACGACGCATTAACCGATACGGCCGTGTTGTGGGACAGGCAATTCGCGCTGCTAGGCCTAACTTTGGAAAAAAATTCGTAGAAATTAAATTTGTCATCCAATTGTTCCAATATTTGGTACATTATGAGAACATTCAGGTAGTTGTCAGAATTAATTTTAAACATTTATTGTTATATTTTCCTCCAAATTTTTATAAAATACTCTTCTAGGATAAAAAGTTTTTCCTTTATCCCACAATTAAATATATATGGAAAAAATATTCAAACAATCGCAGATTTTATAACACAACACATAATTAAAATTAAAAATATTAAAACTGTCTTTCATAAAAATCAATGTGCAACAAAAGGAAGCAATATTTCAAAAAGGCAGTGTATGGTATTCTTTGAAACATGGGTGTATGCAAAGTTAATGTTGCAAATGTCACAGAATAAATATCAGAAAGTTGACCATTTAGCATTTGTGTATCTTCTACGGTCAGATAGCACTTTCCTTTTGCCATTAAAAAAAAATAGAACACCAGCAATAGAGCATTAAAAAGTAAACTTTTCGCTTAAGCTGTACAAATTATTCTTCTCAATGGCCGAAAAATCTAAGAGTAATAAAAACGTCTCTAATGATAGAACACTCCACTGTAGGGGGATTAAAAAATAAAAAGAAATGGAATCAATAAATTAATTCAAATGTATTCCAGAGCATCCAGGACTTGTTCATTTGTTTATATGAAATGACCCAGTAAGAGCCATCAGGTTACTCAACACTAACTCAACACTAACGAATTAGCATTTGTGTATATTCTTCTAAGTTCCATCCAGAACAGGTGCATTTGTGTATATCAAATGACTTTGTTTATATCAAATGACTCAGTTAAAGAGACATTACATTGCTCAACACCCACCCAGGAATCTCCCTCTCATTCAGAAACAAAATACCAAAAATAAAAAACATTGCATAGGAATAAAGGTACACATACTTAACTTTCGATATATTTCCCCATAACAGACATACAGCTATATCTATCTAGTGGCAACAAAAAATACTAATAAACGTTCTATCTAAAAAGTCAAATGTGGTATACCTAGCCATAGAGTGGGCGATTCAAACATGACACACCCGGCCATGAGGTAATGTTTGCTGCTGATGCACCTATGACATGCCCGTACTGAACGGGTTAATCAATGACAGACATCATTAAAGCTTTCATGATTACCAAAATCAGTAAGTCTTTTGTTATTACATACAGTATTTCAATTTCAAAGGACAACTGTTCAAAGATACCAGAATGTTAGGATAATAACTCTTTGAATATGTACTTTGCATATACAGGCACACTTGTATATGTAAACTATCTCACACTGAGCTTTTAACAAACATCATGCTATGAAGTAATTTATAAACAAATATTAAAAGATATATTGATATATAATATCAAACTTTTAAGACTTAAACTTGAAGATATATTGACACACAATATTAAGCTTTATGAAAAAATGAGGAATATATTTCCCTAATTATTTTTTGGGGTGGGTGGGAGATGTTAATACTTATTTACATGCACTGCTTTTGCTTCAAACTGAATTTTCAACAAACACTCCACAAAATAATGCTAATATGATGCATATAATATTAATACGAAGAAAAGTCACTTGCTATGACATTAAATTAATGGTAAGTGCTTAAATGCCAGTTATTTTTGAAATAATGACTGTTTTCAGTTGCAATGTATTATATATATTCAACATAAAGAAAAGCCAAACTATTCTAAATGAGTGGAAATATTTTCTACACATATATTCATATCAGAAACGCATTAAAACTGCATTAAATTGGTGTTGATAAACTTTTTAGCACAATGACTGGTTGGCAGTTTTCAAATCATCATCTTTCCTGAGTTCATTTTTTTAATTAACAAAGCTAATATCCAGTATACGTATATCCATGGTGGTTCAAAACTATATATCAAAAATGTAGAGGTCAGAGGAGCAGACCTAAATAAGCAGATTTCATATAGGAATGTGTGTGCGGTAATACTGTAATACTGCTGGTAGACAGCGCTGATGAGTACGACGCACAAAAGCATTGTGCCGCCTATATTTTTCATTTTCCGAAAGAGCAGCATGCATCATTACACCAATGTGGAGCTTGCTAACATGCACTTCATGTATGGGGTTGCACAAGAAAATAGATTAGCTGCTCAAAGAATGTATAGAGAGCTATTCAACAGGAAGTTCTTGCCTAAACTTTTGGTCGATGTTCCTCCAGCTGTTCGCAGACAAATGTGGTTCCAGCATGATGGAGTCCCAGCTTACTTCAGATTGAATGTCAAGAATCATGTCTATGGCCAGCATTGGATAGGACGGGGAATGCCAGTTCCCTGGCGACCACGTTCTCCTGATTTAATCTGCTTGCATTTCTTCTTTTGGGGTCATATTAAAGGCCTAGTGTAAGGGAGTCGCGTCACATCTGCAGAAGATCTTGTTGTTTACTTGTCTATTGCTGATGAACATATACTCAACATGCCTGACACCTTTTCTAATATACACTGATCCACGTGCCGCCACTGTGAATCTTGTATCACTGTTGGTGGCTGCTCTTTCGAGCAATTGTAAACTTAACAATTTTTTTCTTTTGTCTTTCATTGGCTTTTCATTTTATTGTGATTTATAGTTCTTTATGTGATAGTGCTTTAATGCGGCATTACTGTACACACATTCCTATACAAAATATGCTTATTCAGGCCCCTCCACCTGCCTTCACATTTTTGATGTATAGTTTTGAACCACCCTGTATATATATATATATGTATGTAATGTTGTATGATCTTAAATTCATTATGTGCAAAATTAAGTTACTCTACTACTTGCGCAATTGCTGCAAAGTAAGTTAATAATATTTTATTTACTAAATAAGATTGATTATATTATCTCCTAAGATTAATTATAGCAGAATGATCTGAAAAGAGTGAATCCATACTTGTAAGTTCTATTTTCGAAAGATGTTTTTTAAGTAACTTGAATGTAAATGTTAAAAATGTTTTAACGGGGACTGGAATTAAATCATGAATAACAATTGTAATATTATTGTTCAATGAACGGGAACTTAATTATTGTTCATTGAACAGGAGTTGGTTTGTTCCCCTTGAAAAGTCAACTAATTTCCGATCAATGGCAATGATTATTTGCATTTAATTTAATTCTTGCTTTTAATTTATTCCTTTTACAATTGTTATTCATGATTTAATTCCAGTCCCCGTTAAACATTTTTAACAATGTACATTCAAGTTACTTAAAAACATCTTTCGAAATAGAACTTACTAAGTATGGATTCCCTCTTTTCAGATCATTCTACTATAATTAATCTTAGGAGATAACATAATCAATCTTATTTAGTAAATAAATTATATATATATATATAGGTACACCAATATAAGTATTTCCATCAAATAGAATTCTTCCTCTAAACAACTCTTCGTCTGAAAATATTTTCGTCTAAACATATTTAATTACAAAAATGCAATTTGTTAAACCTTCTCCTTTTCGGACACATTTCAGGAACTAATTTACTGCCACATGTGAAATGGGTAATACAGAATGTATGATTAAACAGAAAATTATACAGTATTTGTGAAGCCAGACATATTCAATTATAAGAGCAACTGCAAAACTAAAATCAATTAGTTTCTGCTATTTATGCTCATAATGTTTGCTGAGAAATGTAATGCTCAAACGTAATTAAAAGTTTTTCAAAATCAAGGTCAGCTCGGTTGTCACTGGAGAATGATTTCAGTCCACAAGCAAGTTTTCTTTCCACCCTTTAGAAAAGAGATCCACCCTAAGAGTAGAAATCACCACAGGAGCCAAGCTCACTTGTGGCTATTCTAGTATGTAATTTATTTGTACATGGAGCTTATTTATGACCACTAAAACTTTAAAGAATAAAGTACTGGTGCCCAGTATGCTCTTATGGTACATCATCTTGATACTATTTATATGTTAGGTTTTATAATTCAGATTACACTAAGAAATATTTTTCCAAATATTTTTCAGTTGCTGGCATTTTTCACCTAATATTGCAGATTTTCTTTGCAGGGGAAAAAAAAAAAAAAAGATTCAAGGAGTATGTTAACAGAATGAGTACAGCTAAAAGACTTATTTTTGGAGGGGGTGAGGAAATGAATCACAAAGCTAATAAGATAACAATTCAATTAATAATTAAGATAACAAAGCTAATAAGATAACAATAACAAAGTCTAACATTTCATTACATAGATCCAATAAATCTTTAATTATTTATACAAAAGTTTTTACTTTATCATGAGTTTCATGGCATTCAAACATGTTTTATCTTAAAAAGCATTACAAATTCGTAAAAGTAGGTGAGATTAGCTTAAAATACGTCAAATGAAATTTCAGACTATAAACTGGGCTTTATTATCATACTTCTTTAAATAATTATCCTTAATTTAAATAATAAATAAATTTAAATAACACTGTCTTTAAACCTTTTTTAAATAATAAACCTTTCATAAAAGTATATATTATCCTTAAATTTATCCTGTGGCATAAATTTAAGGATAATATATACTTTTATATTACTTTTAAAAATAATAATAATTAAAAAAACTACTACTTTTAT